TTCCTTGCCTCAGTGGGACAAACCTATCCAGAACTCGAAACAAGTGCTCCCTAAACAACCTCCATATTTTTGTCGTGCATTTCCCCGAGAACAACTGATCCCAATTTATGCTCTGCAGTTCTTGCCTAAAAGCATTGTAATTCTCCCTCCCCCAATTAAATACTTTCCCACGCTGTCTGCTCCTATCCCTCTCCATGACTATAGTAAAAGTCTCCCACCGAGAGATCTGATACCTGGCCTGGTTCGTTGCTAAGCACTAAATCCAATATGGCCTCCCCGTCTAGTTGGCCTATCTACATATTGAGTCAGGAATCTTTCCTGGACACACCTGGCAAAATCTGCTCCATCCAAACTTTGGAAGTTCCAGTCGATATTAGGGCAGTTGAAGTCATCCATGACAACAACCCGATTACTTCTGCACCTTTCCAAAATCTACCCCCCAATCTGTTTCTCAGTGTCTCTGTTGCTATTGGGGGAGAGGGGGGGGTCTACAGAAAACTCCCAATAAAGTGACTGCTCCTTTCCTATTTCTGACTTCCACCCATACTGACTCAGTAGACAAACCCTCCTCCATGACTTCCCTTTCTGCAGCTGTGATACCATCCATGATTAGCAATGCCACTCCCCTACATCTCTTACCTCCCTCATTTCTTTTGACACATCTAAACCCCGTAACATCCAACCATTCCTGCCCCTGTGTTATCCAAGTCTCCGTAATGGCCACAACATTGTAGCTCCAAGTACTGATCCATGCTCTAAGTTCATCACCCTTATTCCTGACAGTTCTTGCGTTAAAATAGACACATTTCAACCCATCGCACTGACAGCAACTTTGCTAAAATCAACTGTCTATCCTTCCTCACAGACTCTCTGCATACTGTATCTGCCTGTACACCAGCTACCCCATCCTCTGACCTGTAGCTCCGGTTCCCATACCCCTGCCAAACTAGTTTAATCTACTAAGACCACACCATTCAGCCCCAGTGCAGCACTGAGCCCTGATCTCTGGTCCAGATTCCACATTTGCCATTGACACTCTCTGCAAGCCGGCTGCCCATCCCCAATCATCTCACAGCTGAATGGTCTCTACTGCTCCCATTCTCAGTCTGGCAGTTTGGTAGCACATTCAAAATGCGGTGACTGGGTGACAGCTCTCTCAGGCCAAGCAGAGAGGAGGGAAAAAAAAAAGTGCGTAATTAGCAAACAGCAGAAACTTCTCATCATTGTTTTGCAATATCTTGCCAAAGAAGCAGAAATGTTCTATTCTCCTGTAAATCTTTCTTTGGCCACCAGGAGATTGATACTGCTTCTGGTAGTCTTAGGCCATTCCAGAGACTGCTGGAACTCTACACCCTGACAATATTAGGGACAAGTCAGAAACGGAAATTGCTGAATTCAAAAGTCAGTTCAATTCTACAGAACATATAGAACAAATACATATGCAAATACGATCCAGTTATCTTATCTTCCAAGGACAGAACATTAAGCTTCAAGGGTTGCATGGCATAGGCTGGAATAGAGTTTGCTGAATAAAAGATAAGATACTATCCTTCAGAGATAGTAAGAACAGCCGATGCTGGAGTCAGAGATAACACAGTGTGGAGCTGGAGAAACAGCTGGCCAGGCAGCATCAGGGGATCAGGAAAGCTGACGTTGCGAGTCAGGACCCTTCTTCAGAAGGTCCCGACCTGAAACGTCAGCTTTCCTGCTCCTCTGATGCTGCCTGGCCTGCTAAGTTCCTCCAGCTCCACACTATACTATCCTTCAAGTTTATTTCACTAGAACAATGTAGTAAACAGATGGGTAGCAGTGGGGTAGGGAATTTATTACAAGTAAACTGTAGCTGGAGGTCACATTTGGGACTGAATAGACCTGTTGCACATAAATGGTCAACTTACATTCATTCTTCCTGGCATAACAGAAACTGCACAGTAAATAATAAACACATACTATCAAAAAGAAATAAAAATAAACTATTTCTTTTGGAAGGAGTTGTGTGGAACCTTGATTGAGGAAGTAAAATAGCATCTCCATCACTTAGATAATTAGAGTCATGAGAAAAGAGATATTGTCGTTGTTGAATGGACCACAGAAAGGAAGGCATGCTGAAAACTGCCAAGAGTTCTGCCAACCAGCAAGGAGATGGATCCTCTGTTAAGGAAAACCAAAGACATATTGGAAGCACGAGTATGGAAGGAAGCATCACCAGAAATACACAGAGCCATGCAAACTTTGAGCTTCACTCATACTTGTTCGTTGCAATCACTTCAAATGTATTCCCTCTTTTCCGTAACAGGACAGGGATAAAACACCTTTATTCCCTTTAAAGCCTTGCTATCCTGTTGAGAACTGCTGCTGGTTTATATCAATCCTTGTTGTTCTCAACCGATGAGCAGTCAAACTTCTGCTTGTTTGAAGCAAAACTCATCACTTTTCAATTGGGCAATGAGACAGGCTTTACATGACATGGTCAAACGTTGTATCTCGTGCCAACATCTGCCAAACAAATGCAACAGATGTAATAAAAAACAACATTCATCTGAAGCAGAGCAGCTATTCTGAAAGCAAAGGAAATAATTAGTGTCAACATAACAAAATCTCTGCAGAGATAAAAAGAAATAACTGGGGAAAAGTCCACCTCAAGCATTAAACTTACATTACTATATGCAGCTCTACTCAATTCACTATCACTTATTCAATTTATGGAAAAGTTGTGCATTCTAACAGCAAAAAAAAAATGAAAGTCTCAGCAATGCATATATTTGAGTCAACATATCCTTTTCTATTTGAGAATGGCAGTAATTTATGACTAATTTCACTTGGATGCTCACACTAATTATTTCATGGTATGTGGGTGTCACCAGCAAGGCAAGCATCTGTTGCCCATTCCCAATGGACTTTGAACACAATGGCTTGCTAGGTCATTTCAGGGGGCAATTAAGGATCAACCAGATTGCTGTGGGCTTGGAATTACATATAGACCAGACGGAATAAAGACAGCAAAGTTCCTTCCCCAAATAACATTAGTGAACTAGATGGGATTTTGCAAAAATTGAGTTTCATAGTCAACATTACTAACGGCATTCCTCAATTCCACATTTTTATTTATCAAATTTAAATCCCACCAGCTGTTACAGTGGTATTTGAATCCATGTTTCCAGCGTGTAGTCTGGATCTCTGGATGACTGTCTCAATGATATTAGCTAATACAGATTACCAAAATTAAGGTACTTAATTTTCATTTGTGGTCATTTGTCTCTCACAGCATGAGAAACAAATAACGCCACTAAATCTTTGGCCTGGAGTACAGCCATAAATGCATTACAATGCTGGCAAACTGCAATGATTAGCTCATATGTGTTTACACCATAACTATAAGAATGCTGGGAACAAAAAAATCATACTATTCTTGATATTATAAGGGCCACAAAACATTCAAGACCATATAAAAATATACCAGCTACAGTACTGTCCATTTTTTTCCTACAGCACGTTACTCTGCAATACACCTCACGGGCAGCACACTGGAAATCAAACCCCACTATGCCTGGAGTCATCACAGAAGAGTTAACGTTAAAGATTTTATAAAAGTACACACAATAGCCCAACTTAATTGTCTTTTAGACCAAGATAGACATAGAGCATGGAGCAGTTTCTGTACTTAAGAACAACTATTTATTACAAATTACAGATTCTGACAAGTTTACAACTATAAACTGTTGGCATAAAGCTACTATATTAAAACTTATAAACTTCCTCTCTACGTACAGAGATACAGAAACATGGGTGTTACAGGCAGAGGTAGAGGGCAGTTCAATGGTCCCTCTTCAAAGGGTTTGCTAAGACAATCTTTTGGCTCATTCTGCTCTTTGATTCTCAATCTCCAAATATATTCACTTACTTGTAGAATGTACAATGTGGCTGCACTGAACAAGGGAGGTTCACACTTAGAGAGTCTCTGGTTTATTGGTTAAGAGCCACAGTTTACTGCAACTGCTGAGGATAAACTATGCTTTATTCAGGTTTGAGATGCTTTTCACTGCAAAGCAAAACCAGTTCACCCTCCACCAGAGGTCTAACGATTTCTGCCAAAACAAACAAACACTCACAGCCCCAAAATGTTCAGCTATCGGAAAGCCAATCACAGTTGTTGGTAGGTAAAAGGTATCTGTCATCAATAACTAGTCATTAGCCAAAAGACCAGTTACTCGTTGTCAGCCAAAGCTCCAATTCACTGACTTTCACACACCTTGGCTCCAGTTTGACTGAAAACTGGGCTTCCACTACTGCCCTAAGCAACTGTGTAAAAAGCATTTACAATGAGCGCCAGGTAACTTGTTTTTTAAATGGTTGTTACCACTACAGAAAAATAAAACATGTGGTCTTTCCATCTGTTCTATTTCTACAAATTGCAAGTAATTCTTGGTTTGTCTTTGAGTAAAAACCACCCAGTTCATGACTAATCAGACAGGAAACAGCCAATCAACACTGACTTTACTGAAAGTTTAAAAATTCACAAATATAAAAATTGAGGAATAGGCATCAATCCATGCAATTTCCTATGATATGGTTTCACTGTAAATGCATAGAGCAGAGAAAAAGTTACTAATTAAAATTTTAACTAGCAGTTACAGGCAAATTTAAATGTTGGAATGCAGAAAGTACTGTGCCAGTCTTCTGCATTCCCCAATTAGGTATTTTAACACTGACAAGCTGCTCCATTCAATGTTGTAGTTGGTTCAAAATGACTATATAGAATTACAAAAGTTGCCAGCAAACAAAAGCAACCTCAGAGTGAATTTTCAAAGCGGTAAATGTATGGATGATAAAATAATTAATTTTAAAATGCTTTTGCAGATCACAAATTTACAACAGCATTTAGATAACTGTAAAATGTAGAAATAACGCAATCTGCAGCAGCACCAGAAGTATATGTAGCTGCTGTTTAATAATCTGTCATTAAAAAACCAATATCTATAAAAATTCCATTAGATAATCCCTTTTACATTTCACTCCATCTTTGGAGCACAAGCCAAACGCTCCTTTATTTGTAATACAAACATCACCGAAGCAACAAAAATCAATACATTTTATAGAACAAGTTTATACTTTCTTCAAAATGTGCCGAAGAGAATGATACAACAATAAATGAATCTCAAAATAAAAATACAAAATATGGGAATCTTCTGCAAGGCACTATTCAAGGAATTTTTGAACTCTGTACATACAGTTATATACATTTTTCAAAATTTTTTTTTGCGTTTTGCTTCTTGTGCATAACCGGTATGTTCTGAATCACCCTCAGACAATTTTCTTTTCTTTTTCTTAACTGCTTTGTCACTGAAGTAATCACTGTCATCTCGCCCATGGATTTCAGTGTCTACATTTAGTTCCCCTGTCTTCCGCTTTTTCTTTTTGTGTTTCTTACTTTCTAAAATTATTTCAGCTTTTTCCATTTGATCTTCATGACAACTCTTGTCTAAAATCTCATCATTCACAGTCTCTTCAACTTCTTGGTCCCATTTTTCATCTTTCTTCTTTTTCTTTTTCTTCTTGCGTACTATGCCATCATTTTGTTCTCCACTATTATTTTCTAGTGGTCCTTCTGAATCCACACATGTTGCCTGCAACCTGGGGCATAAAATAACAAATCACTAAAGCAGACAAATAGTTCAATACAGTGAACATTTTTGTTTCTTGATAACTCAGTCACATCAAAAAGTAAACTTATGTTTCTAACTCTCATTGGCTTTGTCTCATGATGAGCAAGGTGCATGTGTACATATTGAGTACTCTTGAAATAAATAGAAAATCTGAATAAATCAGCAATAATAGTTTCCATATGTTAAATTGGTAAGCAAGTGAGCCAATAACAAATCTACAGCATAATAGATTAAGTCTATTTTTAACATTGGGTCATGAACTTTCTAGCTTTATGTTAAGGATCTTTTCCGCACGTTGTATAACAGATTGTATCCTTCAAATCCCCCAGAGTGCAATTTTTCCAAGTGGCAAAGAAAGAAAATGAGTTTGTTTCTCATTAACTTCATTTTCTGGATGCAAAACCAGCAACCTACTGCCTATATTGATAAGCACTAAGAACGTGGTAGAGGAAGTACAGTTGGTACAACTTCAGAGGGCAGTTGAGAGTCGTGCACAGGTCAGGGCCATTAATAAATCAACTGGACTTTTCTAACAACATTATAGCTTCATGACCACAGTTTCTGGTAAAAAAATTATTTCTTTAAGATAAAACAATGAAAATTCTAAAATTTTGCTTTCTGGATTATCAGTACTGCAGTATAACCAGTTTCACTCTTCAAACCCTGGTCAGTGTAGCTTAAAGCAGTTAACAGACATTGAACTTAAATGTAAATTGCACTATGTTAATAACTTGGATGAAGGGACACAAGGTAGACGACCATACAAAGATTGGGGAGTGGGGGGTGGGGGGTGGTGATGTGGAGAAGAAGAACAAATTTGCGGAAGATAGTAAGTTTACAGAATACAGAGAGGTTAACTGATTGGGCAAAAACATGACAAATTGAGTATAATGTAGCAAGCGAGTGGTTATCCACTTTGGCAGGAAGAACACCATGCAAAACAAGAAACAGACAGAGACAACAGAATGCTGTAGTACAGAGGTTGCTGGATGTTACTGTTTATGACAGCCAAAAGGTTTACTCAAACTGGAGATACTTCAGCTGCAGTCAAGGTACATTCCTTTAAGGAAAAATAGAAAAAAGTAAGTCAGAGCTTCTTGAATGGTAAATGAGATGCTTTTTTTAAAAAAAACAAAATAACAGTGCATATGACTCACATCAAGTTGATCATGTAAATGAAAATCAGGCTGAATACAGAAAGTTAAAAAACACGCAAAAAGAGTCAAGGTTGTTAAATAGAGACTTAAAGCAAACACAAGAGGATCCAGGTGTCGTATGGCTTACAAAATCAGTTAATAGTTGGTAAAAGCAGGATCAATTTGGGTCCAATAAGTGGATTTGCACATGAGGCAAAAGGGCACAGGTGATGTACTAAATGAGTAGTTTGTACTTTCCTTTACCAAGGAAGGTGCTGCCCAAGTGATAAAGATAGAGGTGGTAATTAGGGCACTGGATGGACTACAAATTGATAAAGACAAGTGAGACAAGTGGTATCAGAAAGGGTGGCTGCACTTAGATGATGATAAACCATCAGAACCACATCAGCTAAATCCAAAAATACGAGGGAAAGGAAGGGTGGAAAGATCTGGAGGCCCTGGCCACAGTTTTCCAATCTTCCTCAGATTTTTTTTTTGGGAGGCGGGGGGCGGTGTCAGGAATTGGAGAATTGCAAATGTTCCATCCTTTTCAAATAGATCAGTAAATTTAATCTCAGATGGTTGAAAAACTTTTAAAAGAAATAAATCTAGGATAAAATTAACAGTCACTTGGAAAAAAGGTGCGATCAAAGAAATCCAGCAAAGATCTGTTAAAGGCAAATCACCTTTAACTAATTTTATTGAGTTTTTGCTTAACTGGTACATGATGTATAGTGGATTTCCCCAAGGGCTTCGTAATCAGAATTATTTTCCCTGCTCTGTATCCATGACCCAGATTTGGGTGTGGACCACAATTTCAAAATCTGCAATGAATAAACACTTAGAAGTGTTCTGAACAGCGAGGATAGCGATAAATTCCAAGAGTACACAGAACATCTGGTGGACTGGAATTGTAATTCATTCTAGTAGGAAGAGGAGAGACAGTATTAAATAAGTTACACAATTCTGAAGGGAATGTAGGAACCAAAGGACTTGAGTGTGATGTATACATAAATTACTGAAAGTAGAAGAACACATCGAGAAAAATTTAATGTCATGCAGGATCCCAGACTTTAGAAGTAGCAGCATAGAATACCAAAGCAAGAAGTCATGATGAGCATTGATAAAAATTGTCCAGTTGGAAGCTGAGCCAATAAGTCAAATTCTGGGCGGTGCGCTTCAGAGAGGATATGATGGTATTTCAGCTGGTGCAGAACTAACTTATAAGTCCCTTCAGTTATGTTGTTGCATGGGTGAAGCTGGAACTGTTCTCCTTATAGAAGGGAAGGCTGAGAAGAAATTGATAAAGATGTTCAAAATTATTCAGGATCTAGACAGAATAGATAGCAAGAGACTTTTTCCATTGGCGAAAGGGTCAGAAGCCAGGGGATATTGATTCTATTGTGTCTGAACAAAGATCCAGAGTGACACGAAGGAAAATGCTTTTACGCAAGGGCTAGGAAACGGAATGTACTGCCCCAGTGTTTGATAGTGGCAGATCCAATGTTGGCTTTCAAAAGAAAATTGTATTATGATTTGAAGAGAAAAAATGCAGACCAATGAGGAAAAGGCAGGAGTGGGACTAGATGAGTTGTTGTCACAGAGACTGGCATAGACTAGAGGACTCAATGGTCTCCACTCATACTGTACTATTCTATGATTCTACATACGTAATCAGGTAGACAAATGGATTATTAGGTTTTATTAAAAGGTGAATTGTTTATAAAAAGTAGGGATGTCTTGATCCAACTGTTGGGAAACATCCAGATTACTGTGGAAAGGTTTGGTCTTCCTTTTTTAAGGAGGGAAATACCTGCATTGGAGGGAGTTTTGAGACAAGGTTGATTCCAGGGATAAAGGGGATGTCTGCTGAAAGGCAGAGCAAGTTTGGCCTATATTCACTGGCGTTTAGAACAATAAGAGGTAATCTTATAGAAACATACAATATTCTGAGGAGGCTTCACAGGGTTTATGCTGAGAGGATGTTGCCTATCATTTGAAATTATACCCCACGTTTTAAATTCCAAGTCTGGTGTTACCCATTTAAGATGATGATGAGGAGGACTTTCCTCACAGAAGGTCATGAACTACTGGAATTCTCTAAACTATAGAGCTATGGTGGATGGGTCATTGAACATGCTTAAAGGTCACAAAAGACTGCTTTTTGTACTGGCGGGAGTTATTCGTTATGGGTAGCAGGTAGGAAAGTGGAGAGGAGGCCAAGATCAGATCAACAATTCTTAAATGAATGACAGGATAAGCCTGAGGGTTTGCATGACTTACTCAACAACAAATTATTCATCCATGTTCAATAAAAAAATCCCCAAGGCACTTCACAGGAATACTGTTAAATCCAAGTACAAGACCAAGTAACCTAAGGCAGGTTGACAAAAAGCTTGGTAAAAGTAGTAGATTTTTTAAGAAGCACCTTAAAGGAAGAATGAGAGGAGAAGTGCAGATAGAGATTTTCAGAGTTTGGGACCAAGACAATTGAAAGCACAGCCACCGGCAGGGAGTTGGGGGGAGCAATTATGATTGGGAATGCATAAAATTAGGCCAGACTTAGGAGTGCAGACACTTTGGAGGGTTGTGGAGTTGGAGAAGATTACAGAGATAGAAAGGAGCAAGACAGCGGAAAGGTGTGAAAAGAGTGATGAGAATTTTAAGATAAAAGACACTGTTTTCACTTCCCTTCCAACCATCACTAGACCTAGTAGTGCATAACATCTACCAATAATACTAGAAATTTCCTAACTACAACCCCGAGTACACAACTAACCACCAGAGTAATTTCCTTTGTATTGACTAAGATGTCTTTAACATCATAACTCAACTGACATAAATGATTCCAAGATACCCTTCAAAATAATTCTTCGCACTGTCATGGTCAACCTTATTCCCCAAGGAACACAACAGATTACTTAGTTATTTCTCTTGTTACAGTTAAGTATTTTGCAAATTGGTTGGTTCCATTTCCTACAATACAATTTTAAAAGTACTTATTGACCATAAAGCACTTTGGGACATCCTATGGACATTAAAGATATAAATAAATGTTTTTCACTGCATCACATTCACTTGGCTCACCTTGGTAAGTTAAAACTTATCAATATGTCAACCTGTCATGACATTTTAATTGTTAACATAGTATTGAGGTGTAGATTAAGCCGTCACGTGAAATTTAAAGAGTGATTCCATATACATATCCTTAAACTGAAAATGATTAACATACTCAGATCCGGAAGTGGAGGGATTAGAAAGGTGGGGAAGGGGCTAAAAAGGTGAGGGTGATGGTGATGGTGCAAAGAAAGAGGAGACAGCAATTAGATATACGAAAGAGGTATGTATTTAAATTAAAAATGGCTCTCAAGTTGACATGTGTAGAAATAGTAGTATGATCATTGATAACAACTATCCCTGAAAAACAAAGGGGACGCAGGTCATGATTTGAAATTGTTAACTTAGTGTTGAGCCAAATGGCTACAAAGTGCCTAATAGAAAGATGAGGTGATGTACTTCATTCTTCAAGTTTTCTTTCATTGGAATAGTATTGGGGGCAGAGGGCAGAGAGGTCAAAGTGAGATTGTAAATTTCAATTTCTACCTTCTGATTCTTCTGTATCCCTCCTCAACTTGTTTCCATTTCTAGAGACAAACTATCGACCAGTATTGAAATCCACTAAGACCAATGACTCCCACAGCTATCATGACTATACTTTCTCCCAGTTTCCACATTGTGCTTGTACCAACAATATATCATGTTTTATTATTGCTCCACTAAGAAACTATCCTGCACTTTGGTTGGTGGTGGAGCTCTTATTAGTAGGAGTTCAATTTTATTCACTTTTGTTTTCAACTCTTCACCACCACAATCAACACACACCACCCCCCATACCCCACCACCCCCCACCCCACACACACACACACAATTCAACTCAGTCAGGCTTCACATTCAATGGGTCACTCTCCATCATTTTGACTACCTTCAGTGGGTTGTCCCACTTCCCATCCCTTCTGCTTTAACAGTTTGAAGGGACAATTCCCTCTGTGACACCCTGGTCATCTCCACAGTCACACTCAGCATGTCCCCCCTTCACTTTCCTTCCTTTGGAAGTAGAGAAAAAGCAACACCTTCTCTTTTGCCTCCTCTCTTCCTCCTCAACCTGAAATGTCACCTTTGTTTTTTTATTCTCTACAGATTCTGCCTGACCAGAGTACTTCTGTTATTTCAGACTTTCAATACTAATAGTATGTTGCTTATCATTAGGAAAGCGGCAATGGCTTTTGAATCCAGCCATCTTGATCTGTGCAATGTTTTAAATGCCTCATGGAGTTAATACAACGCTGAAAGCATTCAACTGCAGCTGCAAGATGTGAATGCACCATGTAACGTCTGAAGTATCACACAACAAATGAATTTTATCAAGCTAGGTTTTTTTGTTTTTATCAAATTTTGGATTTTGGTGATATAAAATTATAGGCTTTGGAGCAGGTGAAATTATAATCACACTTAATAGTTTTACTATTAAACTATTGCGGTTGTCGGGACAAAATAAAATTCCACAGTAAAAGAAAACACACACAAATGCCCATTCTCTTTTCTTAATGACCTAATGAAATTCCAGAAAATTGTAATTTTGAAAAATGGAAACAATGTTATCAGGTCATTAATTATAGCGAAAAGGAGACATTCTCCCAGTTTTCACTCAAAAGGAATCAGAGTCCAACAAGTGATCCAAATAACAACTCCAAGATGCAAACTCTAATCAGTTCAGTTTAAAATTAGACCAATTTTCACAGCACTAACTGCCCCTATTCAATAGACATAAACGTTTAATCACTAGAGAAAGCGTAAGTATTGGTACCTTAAAAGCAACTGTCCTCGAATGCACAGTACACCGGCGACATCAGCATCCAGCTGCAGAACTTCAAATTTCAAGCTATCGCCCACTGCTACTGCAAAGCCTGGCCAAGTTCCATTTGCCTTGTGTGGTTTGGGTATTGAAGCATTAAAACACCCATGTACTAGACAGCCAAGATGACTTGGAGCAACTTTATTCACGATACCCTGAAAAAATTCAACACACAAAGTTATTGAAATGCCAAAAACTCTGTTTACTTTAAAATAAACAAAAATTATCATGCACTATCAGCCCCACATTCTAAGTATCAGTAAAATACTTTCAATTTTTTGTTTAAAAAGACACGGTCATTCACTGCATCATAAACACTTTGACAGAGCTTGTGAAAGCCTACTGTCTAGATTACTGGGTCCCTGGAAAAGATGAAAGGCGAGGTATGGTGCACAACAACTTGTTCGGTTTTAAAATTTTAAGACAAGCATATCCATGCTTACAAACTGAACAAAATGTCAAGATCTAGTCTTGGTTGAGGTCCAGTTTTCTCCAGATAAAGAATGGAGGCGCTGAAGAATTCACCTTTGGCCAAGCTTCTGATCCCATGCACCCACCAATGCAAATACCACCCATTTACATCTCTGTAACTGCTCCCATCAAATCCTTCTTCAGCCAAAAACACTTTTTTTTTGTTATAACTTACAATCTTATAAAATTCTTACAGTATTCTCTGAAAAGCTATACCATGTTAACATTCTGAAAAATCAGCAAACCATAAATAAAAATGCACATGATGGTTGTCTACTTTTCCCAAACAAACTAATTCTCCCTTACACAACTTCAATTTTGAGTAACTGTTGTTCACTTCCTTGGAAACATTTTCCAGTAATATTTTGAAATCAGAAGTGAAGGCAGCAGAAAGTTTATATACTTTTGACTGTGCTTTTAAACCAGCCACTAGGAAGTAAGTGAAATTAACACAGCATCTGCTTCAAACTTTGACTCTGTTTAGATGCACAGTACCTATTAAATTAATTTTGAGTCAAAATTCAGGTGCTCTCTTTGTTCAAGCATCTTTGAGCACGACAGTAATATGCTGATCTACCAAACTGCAATTCACAAAATATTACAAAACACATTTAATCATTTACAGAAAAACCCATTTGTCAAACTGAATCCTTCATTTTACTGCGTCAGCTGCATGGTTATGTATTCTTTTCAACTGACTTCATCCTCTGATGGAGACAAATAATTTGAGTGATAAGACTTTGAAATAGTTGTTCCATCTTAAATCTGCAAGTATTTAAGCAGAAAAGTCTAGATTTTATTGTCACAGTATCTGATACCAATAGGTCTCATTCCAAAATTATACTCCACTACTCACTACAGGACTAAAACTGTGCCAACCATTTACAACCTTATCCATTTTGTCTCAAAACTTGTATACTCACAAATGTCTGATGATAGTCTAACAGTTGCTTGCCCATTTCTTAAAACCTACTTTCATGCCAATCCTCAGCCTTGCTACTGAAGTTTCATACACTTTTTCCCTACAGTAACTGCTGAATTTAAATGAGATAGTGGGAACTGAAGGGTCTAGACCTGAAACGTCAGCTTTTCTGCTCCTCTGATGCTGCTTGGCCTGCTGTGTTCATCCAGCTCTACACCTTGTTATATCCTGAATTTAAATTATGTTTTTCTTAAAACCTCTTCTATCCACAATATCTTACAGACTTTATGTTTTCTTACTGCCTGAAAACCGTTCCCTTTTCACATTTTCTTTCCCCAATTAACTTACCATCAGCTTCTGTCCAGTTTTAGGCCTGAAGATAACAAAGTCTGCTTCAATATTGAGATGGATATACCCTTGGTCGTCATAGATGTCACCCAATTCACCAATTAATCTCACTTTATCAAAAGCAATTGGGACACCCTGCAAACTAATAAATATGTCAAAAGGTTATATATGATTCTTCCAGTAATTTTTTTTAGATAAGAGCAAAAATGCACAATAATTGTAGATAACAGCAAACATGCAGAAACAGCTTTAAAAAAAATTAAAATTCCAAACAGAATATAAACAGACATTTTACCTAGATGGACACCACTACAATTCTTAAAATATGTTTATTATTAAAAAGATACAAGGATTAGTGAAGGTGCAGCGTACATGATAGATTTTAAAGTTTAACCTTTCCACTTTCAATGATTACAAAATATTTTGCTGAGACCTGAACTGCATGCTCAACAGGCTAACTAAATGGTTTCTACAAATGATGCAATTCACACATCAAATTGATGTTTTCTCTCAGTTTTCCCAAGACAAACAGTTGCACCAGTTTTGGTCAGATCACTAAACACAGCTTCAGGGACAAAGGATGGTATTGTTGGAAGCACCTACTGGTTAAGGTGTTGCATTCGACCCAAAGGAGTGATTTCCATTGAGAAGATTTTTTCCTCTTCATACTCCCTAGAGCAAAGTACTCATTCTCAGGAACTAGCAGGCCTATGCTATTTCACTCAAGTGACCACTCATCATGAGGTGAGACACAGAGCAGCTAGACTATTTGACTGTGAATGGCATAAGAGGCTGTAACACGCACACCAGTTTTCTGCAGCAATGTCATTTCTTTCACTCTCATGATTAGGAGCACAGGACCAATTGTAACAACATCCTGTTTGCTACTGAAAGCAATTTATTCAATACAGACTGGGAATCACACCTGGATCTTCTGTTTGGGACAGTTTTAATGCTAAACCGAGTGGTGTCTTTATTCATAAAGCCACATCTAATTAAAAGTTGATGTGAATTATATAGTGAAGAATAGAATCATGGGTTTCCTTACAGGCAATCATTTCATTAAGGGTTCCAGATGAGATCAAAAACCACAAAACTGAAACTCGTGATCATGAATAATTTTCTGATTCCAAGATCAAATTACTGCCTTTTAATTAATTTTATACCTAATTATAACATATGCAGCACAGATCATAAGAGCAATTTTATAGCACTTTGGGTTTTTTCCCAGCTGCAGATATTCGTGTGATGTCTACACTGAAAAGAAATCAAAACATGATTTTTTAATTTTCTAACTGGAAAATCAACAGTGGATTCCAAAACTGTTGAAAGAAAGAGTAAGAATGCCTTTATAGAGTACTTTCAATGATCCAATGATGTTCTAGACCCCCTCCATTATGGAGGCGGTTTTTCGGACTTGGTGCCACTACTGTAATGCAGGTAATCAATGAAACAAATGGCCAGATGTTTTAGTGACATTGGTTGAGCAATAACATTAGTTTCTTCAAAAGCTTACCCAAATGTCTGTACCTCCCTCCATACTCTGCTATAGTGGCAGCTAAATTAAGTTCTCAAGACTCTGGAATGGGTCTTGAACACAACACTGCAATTCAGAAGTTAAACTGCAGCCAAGTAAACAAAAGTGACATGGACCTACCTGCCGCCCACCAAGCCTCTTTGAATCTCACTATTTATAGCTTTTCATCATTTAGAATATACCTTGTTTGGTTCTTTATGAATCCGAAATTGATTAGCTCACATTAAAATGCATTTACCAGTTTTGCCTATCAACTGAATCTATCAATATTTCTTGGCAATCTTACACTTCCATCAACACTGCTTACAATAGTGCTGTCAGCACATTTCACTTTAGCTTTCCCATCCGATAATCTAAGTTAAGCAAAAACTCCAACACAGATCTTTAAACAACACTGGTCACATATTGCCCATTAGAGTAGCTGGAGAACTTGACCATTGGTGCTATAGTCTTTAAGTGGTCAGCCAGCTTGCTAAGTAGGTCAACAATTTGCCTTCATTTCCACAAGCTTCAACTGCAACAGTCTCTCAGAATCGAACTTATTTATATGGAATTCTAGAAGACATTTGGTAACTATGACACAGGAAGAGACTATTAAGTCCTTACCAGCTTTCTTTTGAGCAATCCAATGCCATTCTCCTATTTTATCTCTGGAGCCCGACAAGTTGAGCCCTTGAAAAGCCAGCCAGTTTCCCAGCGAAACCATTCTATCATTTTCTCAGACAGCAAATTTCAGATCGGTGTCACTCACTGTGCAAAAACATTCTTCCTCACTTTCCCCTCCAACTCCTGTCCATAAATCCATCTCTCATAGCATTTTTACCATCACTTGATGCAAGCCTCTCATCTACTGTATCTACACTTGTCATAATATTATGTACTTCTTCAAAAAAATCCTCTCAATTGCCTTTGCTCCAAACAAAATGACCTCAGCTTCTTCAAACTAATCTTGTAACCAAAATCTCTCACCCCAGGAACTATTCTGCTAAATCTCACTGCTTGCTCTCAAGAATCTTCTCATCTTTATAAAGCATACAATTTCTGGTCACCATGCTTTAGTATAGGTTGACCTTCATGCAAAATGCCTCTATTAATGAAGCCCAAGATCCCATATTATTGTCAATAAGTTCTGGCACCTTCAAAACTCTATGAACGCTCAATAAGAGTATATGAGTCATTAGAGTACACAAGTCATTAGGGTACACAAGACAAGGATGAAGCATTCACAAGCATCTTTAATAGATATGCCAAGTAGATAATTCACTTCAGACTCTTCCTAAGATTCCCATCATCATGGATGCCATTCTTCAGCTAGGTGGACTCAGTCCGTGTAATAAGGTGATGAGTGAGGGCACAGAGTACACAAAAGGCCAATAACATTTTGACTGCAGTATTGAAGAGTCATGCTCCAGGACAAGTGTGTATAGCCATACTGTTCCAGTAAAGCGAGCACACTGGCATCTATCCAACATGGTGGTAAACTTCCCAGCCAATCAGCAGTCCATAAAACTACTCTCAATCATAAATGTGATGGAAGCTGACATTGACTGTGCTATCATTGTACGCACTCACCAATAACCTACTCAATTTGGGTTCCACCGAGATCATTAGGCTCTTCAGCTCAATTCAGCCTTGATTCAAACATGGATAAACAGCAGGATGGTAAAGGAGACCAATGTCCTTCATATCAAGCTAGTGTTTGTCTACACATGGCATCAAGTAGCCCAAGTAAAATTTCAGCAATAGAAATTGGAGAAAACTGTCCATTTGTTGAAGTCACATCTAGTACAAAAGGAAGGAAATCGTGGATGCTGAAAGCCAACTCAAAACCCAGGGCAGAGCAGCAGACCAAGCTCTTTAGCTGTTTCACCAATAATCTTTCCTGTATGTTATGCTTAGAAGAGAGGACGATCTCTGATGATTACTCAAAGTTCAGTTTTATTTGCTGTTCCTCAGATAATGAGTTTATGCTCACATGCAGTTAAACGTGGACTCCACAGGTTCAAGCTGATAAGCAACACAAGTGCCAAAGTCTCCAATGAGACAGTGTCCAACCACCTCCTTTTAACATTCAATAACTAAAGAACTGACCATCTACTTCAAAAAGAAAGGAGAACACACCTTCATCTACATCAATGGAACTGAGGTGGAGAGTGAAGAGCATCAAGTTCCTCGGAGTGACAATAACCAACTACCTGTCCTGGACTTCCCACATAAATGCGACAGTCAAGGCAGCACAACAATGCCTCTTCTTCTTCAGGCAGTTCAGGAAATTTGGCATGTCCATAGAGACCCTCACCAACTTCTACAGATGCACCATTGAAAGCATACTGTCCAGGTGCTTAACGGCCTGGTATGGCAACTGCTCTGCCCAGGACTGTAGGAAACTACAAAAGGTCGTGTGCATGGCCCAGAACATCACTGAAGCCAATCTTCCCTCCATGGACTTTACTTACACAGCTCGCAGCTGCAGAAGGGTGACCAATATTATCAAAGACCCATCGCACCCTAGTAATAACCCCCTACAACCTCTTCCATTGGGCAGAAGATACAGAAACCTGTACACACGCAGAAGCACGTTCAGGAACAGCTTCTTCCCTGCCATTATCAGACTGTTGAAAGGACTCTAGCCTCAAATAATGATACCTGCAATGTAACCTGTATGCCCCTAAGTCTTTTTGATCTGTACATCCTTTGTTTACAAGCAGGACAGGCAGGTCATGGTAAGCAAAGCTTTTCATTGTATTTCTGTACATATGACAATAAAATCAAACAATCAACAGCGTTACAACAACAAATGGAATAACTGACACAAACACAAAAGATAACCATCAAAACGTCCATCTGCACAATTAGGCCTGGTGACATCAGTAATTGGTGACAGATTTTTAAGCTTGAATGCATCTGCACATGCACGGGTAACGTTCGTAGGTTCTATTTGCAATAACGTCTATGGTTACTCTTGCAGAGATGGTCCTACTGAAGCTGAATGTTTACACAGCCAGGAAAGCTTGGGACAGAGAGCCCAGGCAGAGGAACGCTGGCTGTTGAGCAGTTCAGTGTCTCAGAGTGGGCAAGTGAGAGACTGAACACAGTTTTTCAACAAAGACATCCTCCCTTCTTGCAGGCAAAGACGAGGCATTTTTCCAGCTAATGATTATCTGATGCAGGCTGCCAACTCAACTTGCAAGTTCTGCTCTCCCTTCGAGGTCAACACGTAACTGACTTAGAATCCCAGAATTATATATTTAAGCACTTTAACCAGTTCAGATTTCAGCCACGTGACAAGGACAGGCATTTCACACACTTCTTTTGTCCACAGCTGGCTTGACAAAATCAGCTCGTGTCCAGCAACTGTGCGGGAGTTTTAGTTGGAAATATAATACGATGTAGGTATTTCAGAAACTTATTGAAAGAGTCATATGTTCAGCCTCAGCTATTTTATAAGTTCTGCAACATTATCCATTTTTAAAAGAAAACAGAATTTAACAAAAGTATAGAAGGGAATACTTTGGAATTTATCTTCATTGCCCTTGACGTTGACAAAAATGCTATTTAAATGGAAAGAAACAGCAGAATGCTGCGACACAAAGGGTCTATCATGTGCCCATGCACATAAATCAA